CATCTATTGAGATAATTATATGATATTTATTTTTCAATTTATTAATGTACTGTATCACATTGAATCATTCTTGCATCCATGGGATAAACCCCACTTGATCATAGTGTATGATCCTCTTAATGTATTGTTAAAATTGATTTGCTAGTATTTTGTTGAGGTTTTTTTACATGTATGTTTATCAGTAGTATTGGTTTGTGATTTTCTTTTTAGTGATGTTTTTGTCTGGTTTTGGTATCAGGATAATGCTGGCCTTGAAAACGAGTTTGGAAGTGTTCCTTCCTTTGCAGTATATATTTTTTTTTGAAAGAATTTGAGAAGGATAGGTGTTAACTCTTCTCTAAATGTTTGGTAGAATTCACCTATGAAGCCACCTGATCCTGAATTTTTGTTTATGAGAAGTTTTGAAATTACTGATTCAGTTTTATTACTGGTGTTTAGTCTGTTCATGTTTTCTATTTCTTCCTTACCCAGTCTGGGAAGATTGTGTGCTTCTAGGAATTTGAGCTGGCCAAGTGGCGCAATGTGTCCCAGAGCCAGTGTTGGCTCCTTCATGTGGGGGCTGGGTCCTGATATGGCAGACTCCTGGGTTATGGTGGTCCTGGGTCTGGTGTCTGTCTGCTGGTGAGTGGGGCTGGTTCCTGCAGCCAAGTAAGGTCCCAGGGGGTCCCAGGGCTAGTGAGGTGCATTGGTGGGCGCTCTGATGCGTGGGTTAGGGAATCATGGGGTCCTAAGGCAGCCAGCCTAGTGGTGATGCTGTATCCCTGCCCAGCTAGCTACTTGGCCTGAGACACCCCAGTCCTGATGCCAACAGAATGGTGGATGCGTCTGCAACCTGGTGCTAATAAGCTAGAGGGAGGATTCTAAAATGGTGAGGCATTAAGATGTAAATGAACACTGAAATAATATCTGCTCATATTATAAAAACTTTAAAATGTTCATAAGACTCTGAAGTAAAATTAAGAATCTTCTCTCCTTCCACTTCTAGCCATAGTTTTATACTCTCATTTTAACTTCTAATATTACCATTAAGACTTTAAAACAATACTATACCTGATAACCTAAAATAGTACTTTTTTGGATGTTCTGCTATGAAATAAGATGAATTTAATGCTACCTACTTTTTTCTCCCCTCATTCATTTGACAGTTTTTATTATATCATTATATTTACCTTGTCAAGTTGTATAATATTTACATTCTGTCTGTAACTATAAGTCTTCAGTGCTTTGTCTTTAGGTTCATTCAACACATTTACAATAAATTGAAACAGAGTTAAAAATAACATGGTCATGTAAATATTTTTATTATGGATCTAATCCTAGTGTGTGATGCAGAACCCAATCCATTTTGACTATGTACCCCTTTAAATTTCAACTGGGAACTGTCCATGGTCCTCCAGGCACAGTCCGACCAGTTTAGGGCAGAGTGTTTTGCAGTACTGAAGTGAAGCCCAGGAACACACTGGCCTCGTGGACAGTTTAATTCATTGTTAACTTGTATTGAGTTTGTCAATAATGAGAATTTCAAATTTAAACTGAATTCTTGTTATTTCCCAAGGTTGATGATGCCACTGGGACAGCTCAGATCTAGGAAAGGTCTTCCTCATTTTGAAGTAAAATGTTACTGTACAGCTTGTTCTCTAACAGATCATGGAATTACAGGGCCAAAGGGTATTGTGCATATTACATCTTTTAGGTATTTATGCCAAAATTATACCTATTCACACCATCACCAGAAATGCATGAGAGGGCATATTTGGGGAAATTTCTGAGTTTGTTAATATTAACTGCAGTAGGTAGAAATAACCAAGTAATTTTTAGTTTTATGAGAATTGTCTAGGGTTGGATGAATTAAGCTCAAGCCAGAGGTTCTCTACCCTGATAATAATCAGTCATTTTTGTTCTGAGAGGCAGTTTGATCTCAGGCATATCCAAAGCCATAGGATGGTTAGAAATATCATAATAGGAATGCATATGTTTTAAAAACACAAACCTTTGAATGATTTCATTACTTCATGCATTTAATTGGGAAGTTAAAATGAATGCCTTGATCATATTATTTACAAATGTTTTTGCTACAAGTAGTCATGAAAGGATCATTATACATCCGTTGCATTACTAGATCTGAAGCTAAAGATTTGTTACATATACACTAACATACATAAAATAGACAGCCAGTGAGAAGGTGCTGAATGCCTCAGGGAACTCAAACTGGGGCTCTGTGACAACCTAGAGGGGTAGGCTGGGGTAGGAGATGGGAGGGAGACTCTAAAAGGAGGGAACATATGTACACCTATGGCTGATTCATGTTGATGTATGGTAGAAACCAACACAATATTGTAAAGCAATTATCCTTCAACTAAAAGTAAATAAATTAAGAAAAAAATTTTGTTTAAGTGATTCCCATCACTATTTCCATAGCATCTGTCCTCATTTGCCCATGCAGTTCCCTCTGGGAAGTCTGTCCTGATTTTGCTCTGAGAGAGCTAGTTATTTCTTGTTCTGTGTGTCAGTGTGGTCTGACAGCATCCCTGGATCCTGGCCGGTGACACCGATGTCACATTATTTCAGTCTATCCTTGAGGTAGCCGTGCAACCAGACTCCACTCCAGCCGCTGTCTCCTGCTTCAAGCTCTATTAGTAATTGCATTTGCTGTCCGAGGACATCTGTTTCCAGCCATTCAGCCCTGTGCCCCCTGAATTCTGAAGCACTTAATCAGAGTGCTGGGGGAGTAGGTCCCCGAGGCCTGGTCGCTGGCTCCCAAGTTCCTGCATTTCTTAAGAGAAACAGTATATAGTTAACTGGGCTGAGATATGTCCAGAAAAAAAAAAAATCTGAGCTGCTGCCATGTGCCACTATATTCTATGACCATGAAGGAATTTTCTGATTTTATTAGACATAAGCATTAGTACTCCGGATTTGTTAAAGAGGACTGTTTTGGCCATGGTCTCTAAGGCAGTGAGACAACAGTCTGATATCGGAGTGGAAAAAGTTTCTCATAGCTGAAATATTTTAATTGTGTTTATTGGTCTCTCGGTGTAAGCTGCCAATTGATTAGTTTATTCCAAACTGACAGTAAGTCTATAGTACTCAAATGTCTGATATGTTTTCTGTGTATTTTTAGGAACTTTTGTAAATTCTTGGTTAAAAATATCTCTCCACTGGTCATGGAAAGGCTCCTCTTTTGCATTAGGGACTTTCTTTCAATGTAAAGGTTGATATATAACTTCCTACTGGGTTTTAGGATTCTGAGGGGATTAGGATTAACTTTCATCACTGTGTCATCAAATTTAAGACCTCAATTTTCTTTCTTTTTTTTAAAAAAATATTTATTTGACTGCACCAAGGCTTAGTTGCAGCACGCGGGATCTTTAGTTGTGGTGTGCAGGATCTGGTTCACTGACCGGGGATTGCACCCTGGCCCCCTGCATTGGGAGTTTGGAGTCTTAACCACTGGACCACTGGGCAAATCCCCAGGACTCAGTTTTCTAACCACACATTAGATTGCAATAAGTTAACACATGGCAATAAACTCCAATTTATTGTCACCAATGCTGATGCTAGATTAGAATGTTATTCTAGTTGAACAGATATTGTATTACTATCTGAAAATAAATCTGTAAAGTATTAAAGTATTGTAGATTGTTAAAGTATTAAAGTATTGTATTTGTGATAAAGTGTCCTTGACTCTTCATAGGATTTAATTTGCAGTGGTAATGGGTCTTCTCTGCAAAAAGGACTGGTTTGGAAAGGGAGTGGAGAAATGGAACAGTTGCCAGGAGCTGGAAAAGCAAAGCATTTCAGGAACTAATTTCCATAATCTTTTTTTGATGTGAATTAATTTAATTTGGAACTTGATGTCAACAAACCTTTTTTTTTTTAATGAATTTTAAGGATATCCTTTTGATGCCTCTTTGGACCATCCTAGATATAGTAAATAGAAGTAGATGCACTGGTAACTTTCTCAGTGCCCTTTATTTTTACAACCTAAGCATACATATTCTTTAAAGTTATTCTTCTCAGTATGGTTCTCTCTCTCCATTTTTAATCCTCCCACCCAAAAACTGACTATTCCTTCCCATTTCATTTCTTCAGGGCCTACCAGCATTAGTATTGTCTTTATCAGACAGGGAGATACACAGTCAATGAATACTGGAAGAAAGGTCTTACTCTCTTTTATACAATGATGCTTTATGATAATTCTACTCTGTTACTTACCTTCATTCAAATAATTTTTAGCAGCTAATTAGGACTCTGAGAGTTGACTGTTTCCTCAACATCAATTTCCATCTGTACCAAGCTTGAGAACTCATAGCCCTGTAAACATACTCTATATATGGATCAAATCTACTAGTATGTTAGCCAGTGATTTGTTTTTATTAAATCTCTCCAGAGGTCCCTAGAGAGAAGTCTTATATGTCAGTTTCCTTTTTTTTTTTTGTCCCTAGGCCAGATTTTTTCCCACTTATTTTTTTAAAAATGTATTTATTGTTAATTGAAGGATAATTGCTTTTCAGTGTTGTGTTAGTTTCTGCCATAGGTCAACATGAATCAGCCACAGGTATACATATGCCCCCTCGCTCTTGAGCCTTCCTCCCACCTTCTACTCCATCCTACCCTTCTAGGTTGTCACAGAGCCCCGATTTGAGCTCCCTGAGTCATAAAGCACATTCCCACTGGCTACCTATTTTACGGTAGTGTCTATGTTTCCATGCTACTCTCTCAATATATCCTACCTTTTCCTCCCCCAAACTGTCCACAGTTCAGTTCTCTAGCCCTGCTTTTATATCCCTTCTCTTTTTCAGACACTTAAATTCACCTAACATAGCTTTGCAATTTAATGTCTTTATGAAGAGAGGATAGGGCACCTAGAATGAAGAATGGAATGAGCATTTAACCCTAGCTCCTTGAAGTCATCCGTAAGCAAGATAAATGAGAAGCAAATGCAGCCTCTCCTCGTTGGCTACTAATGCTATTGTCTTCACTTTCCATAATTATTTTAGGACTTGCTTGGTGCTGTGGAGGCCAAAGAAGCTCTTGAAAGGGAAGTTAAATTCTTCCAAGAAAGGCTGCTTGCTGGTCAGCGGGTCTGGGATGCCTCAAAGCAGGAGCTGAGCCTCTTGAAGAGGAGCTCTTTGGAGCTGGAGAAGAGTTTGAAGGCCAGTCTGGAGGCAACCGCGGCCTCCGAGACGGAGCTCTCCTCATTTAGGGAGAAGATAGCAGCCCTGCTGGGGGGCAGCTCAGGCACACTTAGGCCCTCGGAGAATGCCATTCTGGAGAGGATTCGAGAAATGGGCAGCCAGGAAGAGAGCGGGAAACAGGTGAGTGGGGGTTGGAGGCTTACAAGCTTCTTAAGGACAGTCAGTCCTTCATTTAGCATATTCAGTGAGTGAGTTGTCTGAGTTAGTCAAAGCGTTTCTTCTCCAAGCATTAGTCACTCAGTCGTGTCCAACTCTTTGCAACACCATGGACCCTAGCCCGCCAGGCTTCTTGGTCCGTGGAGTTCTCCAGGCAAGAATACTGGAGTGGATTGCCATTCCCTTCTCCGGAGGACCTTCCTAGCCCAGGGATCAAACCTGGGTCTCCTGCATTGCAGGCAGATTCTTTATCATCTGAGCTGCCAGGGAGGCCCAAGTTAGTTAAAAGTAGCCTTTAAATGTGGTTGTACTACTTTCAGGGATCCCCAGGTGGCTCAGTGGTAAAGAATCCTACTTTCAATTATATATTATATTTTTGAAGTCACATCTCCTTGTGAATGATGTGGGTTCTGGACGCAGCTCTACCCGTGCTGAATTTTGTCTCTACTGCATGCTCACTTGCTCCAGATGTGAGGTTCCTGAGAGGACAGCCTCTGAGATTTTTTTTTCCTGGCCTACTGTATAGGGACAGTGCAGGGTCCACACCCCTATCTGAAACCCTTGGGGCTGCTGTGAGCTTTTGTTTTCCTTTTCTTTTTTTAATTGGAGTGTAATTGCTTTGCAGTGTTGTCTTACTTTCTGCTATGCAACTACGTGCGTCAGCCCTGTATATACATATATCCCTCCCACCTCACCCCCATCCCAGCCTCTATGTCGTCAGAGAACAGTGAGTTGAATTCCTTGTGCTATACAGTAGCTTCCCTCCAGCTAGCTATTTTACACACGATAGTGTATATACCGGGAAAGATTGAGGGCGGGAGGAGAAGGGGGCGACAGAGGATGAGATGGCTGGATGGCATCACTGACTCGGTGGATATGAGTTTGAGCAAACTCCCGGAGATGGTGAAGGACAGGGAAGCCTGGCGTGGGGCAGCCCATGGGGTCACAGAGTCAGACACGACTTAGCGACTGAACGACAACAGCAATGTGTATATATGTCAATGTACTCCCTTCCATCCCAACCTCCCCTTCTCATGCTGTGTCCGTCTGTCCGTTTTCTGCCTCTGTGTCAATATTCCTGTGCTGCAGACAGGTTCTTCTGTATACCATTTGTCTGCTGCGGTTTTCGAATTCAGAAGTTTTCAGCATTTAGAAATGTCACACAGTCCCCAGGAAGGTAGTGGAGAAAGGACCTGTACACGTTACTCCTCAGTGGGTTCCGGTGAGCTTTCCATAATCAACCACGTTCATCTTCTGGGGCAAAAGCCGTGAGCAGCTCGGCTTCTTGGGATCCACCAGGACTGTGAAGAGCCTCGGTCACTTCAGGTCAGGGTTTGTTGCCACATCCTGTCAGGTCAAGCTTTGCCAGCTAATGAGTTTTGGGGAAAAAAAACCAAAACCGTCAGCTTTCAGATCTTTTTGGATTTTGGAATTGCAGATAAGAGTTGCTAGGCCTGTAACTAGATCTGCCTCTTAAGGGTATTGTTTGTTGTAAACCTTAAATGAAAAAAAAATTGTTATGAAGTCTTTAACGCACTGTCTGGCCAATAGCAATGATAAATATTGACTGTTGCTTTCCTGGCCCTGCCTCCTCTCTCACCTCCTCTCTCCTTTTCCTAGTGACCTGAAACAGTCTTTTAGGGGACCTGTTGAACAAGTGGATTCAAAAATTAAAAAAAAATCACACAGATGATTGAAGCTTGCTTAATTTTGTTATCTTATTTCTATTATTAACAGTTCTTCTTTCCCATAAAGCTTTGCTTAGCCATGTCAAGTTCAGCCCAGACTCTATTTAAATTGTCATTAAGTCCAGATTTTAAAGTCCTAATTAACAAGGTTTTTAACTAGATAACATCCAAATTCTGTGATATTCATTAATATAATCCTTTAATTCCATTAGGAACTATTTCTTCTCTTGAGCTCATTCTTTGCTCAAAAGGAGAAAATGAACTTTTTTCATCTTTTCACGTTCCTATAAAACTCAGAGTGATCACTAACACACAGCTCAGGGTTACATTTGTAAATTTCCTTGAACGCTAAGACGTTTCAAATTCCCTTTGAAAACTCTGCAAAATTCACTCATGCTCCAGCAGCAGCCCCAGTGACTTCTTTGTCCAAGTGTAGGACTCTCTTTGTGGTTAGAAAATGTTCGCCCCATAACATATCTGGGCTTCCCTGGTAACTCAGACAGTAAAGAATCCGCCTGCAATGCAGGAGGCCCGGGTGCAGTCCCTGGGTTGGGAAGATCCCCTTGAGAAGGAAGTGGCAACCCACTCCAGCATTCTTGCCTAGAGAATCCCGTGGACAGAGGAGCCTGGTGGGCTAGAGCCCAGGGGGTCACAAGGAGTCAGACACAGCGGCTAATACGCATGTAACACGTGTGGGCCTCTGATGGTCACTCAGTCTGTCTTGTGATTCAGTATACATATAGGTCCTGGGTTGGAGGAGAAAATTATTTACAGGACTGAGAAAAGCTCCATTAAGTGAGTTACCTTGAACAGTAATGGATGTACTTCAATAGCCAATGGATCTTTGCCATTTCATTTTATTGCTTCCCTCTTCTATTTTTCCAAATGTTTTCCTAAAACTATTTTAATTCCAGCATGTGAAACATGGCATAAAGTTGTCAGCATGATGTATATGTTTATTTTCTAAAGCAAAATGATGTAAATTGGTTAAGCTGGCTATGCCCTCCCCCTCTCCTCGTAAAAATGAGAATGAGTCAGAGCCTTTTTAGTGCCTTTGTCTGCCATTCCTAGCCTGTAATTTTTTTTCAATAGCTGCCCTCACTCTTTAAAAGCTTGAAATCAAGCCTGTAGCTGGCATCTTGTGTGACTCATCTTCAAGTAAAATCAGGAGAAAACAGATTTCATATATTGTTTTAGAACTGTTTCTGAAGAATGGGAGCTTTACAGACTGATGAATCTGCTGCAGAGGGTGCATCCCCTGCCAGCTGCCAGGGGTAAACACACAGTCCCCAGCTGAGTAACACCCATGTGCCCTGAGCCTGGCAAATCCTCCCCTTCACCGTGACCCCGACTCACTGAACATTGCTTTTCTTGTTTACCTCTTTGCTCTTCATTTTCAGTCTCCTGGATTTGCAATTCTGGGTACTCAGGACACCACCCACACATTTATCAATAAGTGGTTTCTACTTATTCCATGCTCTTCTGATTATAGCAAAACCTAATTTTCTTTTTAAGTACTTTACTATACCTTAGAGCAGGATTTCTCAGCTATTGACATTTGGAGCTGGAATATCCTTTGTTGTAAAAGCGGTTCTGTAAGATGTTTAAAACATCTGTAGGATGTAAAAGCATTGTAAGATGTTTAGCAACATCTCCAGCTTCTACCCACTAGATACCAATAGTACCTCCTCTTCTCCCCGATTGGTGACAACCAGTGATGTCTCTGTGTATGCATGCTAAGTTGCTTCAGTCGTATTCGACTTTGCAATTCTACGGACTGTAGCTCAACAGGTTCCTCTGTCCATGGGATTCTCTAGACAGGAATATTGGAGTGGGTTGCCATGCCCTCCTCCACGGGATCTTCCCGGATCAGGGGTCAAACTCGAGTCTGTTACGTCTCCTGCATTAGCAGGTGGGTTCTTTACCACTAGCACCACCTGGGAAGCCCTAGTGATGTCTCTAGTGTTAGAGACTCAGTTGTGTCTGACTCTTTTCGACCCCATGGACTGTAGCCCACCAGGCTCTTCTGTCCACAGGATTCTCTAGGCAAGAATACTGGAGGGGGTTGCCATTCCCTTCTCCAGGAGATCTTCCCAACCCAGGGATCAAACCCAGGTCTTCTGCTTTGCAGGCAGATTCTTTACCATCTGAGCCACCAGGGAAGCCCAGTGATATCTCTAGACATTGCCAAATGACCCTTGGAAGTGAAACTGCCCCTAGTTGAAAACCTCTCAGAGGAATGTTCTACTGTGGAGTTCCCAGGAATTCTAAATGAGTATTTCAGTTATGTAGCCTTGAAATTTCAGTACACTTGTAACAGGTGTTTTTGAAATAATGATTTCTTGCACAATGACAGGAAACTATGATATTTTCAGATTTCAGAGTATTGAGGCGAGCATTTTTTGTTTGTTTTGAACTTTTAGATATTTCCTAGCTGGCTAATTATCTGGCTGAGAATTGACCATGAGTGATTCCCATGTTGCCTGCTTAATTGCAGACAAATTAGTACAGGCTCACAAACATTTTTCTAGACAGCTCTTCTGTTCTGCTTTAGAGCACACACAAGGCTCTATTTCCTCCAGTGGAGTTTTTTTTAGTCCAGTGTGAGAGCTCTGGGGACTCAATGAGATACCATAAACAACCTGAGATGTTTCCACCACTCCCCTACTAGCCCTATCTGATCTCTTCACTCTGCTCAGTTCTTAATCCTCCAGTATTCTAAACCAAACATTTACCCAGAAGCTTCAGCTACACTTGCACTGATATTTCATCATCCAGTATTATGTTACATAGTCACTCATGGCTCCAAGGGCAATCTGGGCAAGTCCAAGGATAGAGGTTTCAGCTCTCCCAGCCTCTGAAGTGTATTAATTTCCTAGAATGGCCATGACAAAGGACGACTACCTAAGTGGCTTAGACAACAGAAATTTGTTGTCTCACAACTCTGGAGGCTTGAAGTCCAAAGTCAAGGTGTTGGTAGTACTGGTGTCTTCTGAGTGCCTAGAGGGAAAATCTGTTTCAAACCTATCACCTAGCTTCTGATAGCCTCAGACACTCTTTGGTTTATAGATCACATTCTCTCCGTGTCTTCATATAATTTTCCCTCCACTTATGTGTGTGTCTCTCTGTCCAAAATTTCCCTTTTAATAAGGACACTGGTCATATTGGATTAGTGCCCATCCTCATGACCTCATTTTAACTTATCTCTGTAAAAATTCTAATAATGTCACATTCTGAAGCACCAGGGCACTTCAACACAACTCTTTTGGGGGAACCCAATTCAAACCATAACAGAAGTTGACATACACATTGGTGGTGGTGTAGGGTCAGCCCAGTCAACAGTGTTGGCCATACATATGACAAGAAGGAAGGATAGTTTGATTGGTTCCTGGTAGCTCATTTTATATATTTCTTAAATGAAAATCTAGCTTGAATAATCAGAGAAGAGTTGTTTGTGTCCAGAAGGCACTGGCCCTTAAATGACCCAAGTGGCTTTTTCTTCAGCTTAGAGCTCTTGTGCTTCCACTGGATTTAATCTTAGGGCAGAAGTGCCTCTCGGGTGAAGTCAACAACTCCTTGTCCTTGGAAAATAAATTAGTTCTCTTAGGGCATTATGATTTCACTTCCAAAATCCAAGCTGCTTGTTTTTGGACTACAGTTTATTTCAGTGCCTTTTTTTTTTTTTTTAAAATGGTGATGTTGTTTTTCAGTCACTCAGTTGTGTTTGACTCTTTGCAACCCCATGGACTGCAGCACACCAGGCTTCCCTGTCCTTCATCATCTCCTAGAGCTTTCTCAAACTCTTGTCCATTGATATGTATTCTTTAGTACAAGCCACCCTCCTTCCCTGCCCATTCCAGGCATCTCTTGTGGTTTGTTTTTTACAGAAATAGAAATTAAGGGTTTAATCAGAACAACATCAGTAGGCAACAATTTTTAGAACATGTATATGCTGTGCTGGGTCTTAGTTGCTGCATGAGGCATCTTTGGTTGCAGCATGTGGGATCTAGTTCCCTGACCAGGGATGGAACCTGGGTCCCCTGCATTGGGAGCTTGGAGTCTTAGCTGCTGGATGACCAGGGAAGTCCCACATCTTTAGTGTTGAAATTCCTAGCACGTTTTGTCCCAGAGAGTATCAGGGATATGTTAACAGATTACACTAAGAAAAAGGAGAGGAAAAACAAAAAGAGGAAAAACCCTTACTGATCCTTTAGATTTCTTGGTGTGAAAGCACAACATGATTTTGTAGTTTTGATGGGACATATTCACCTGGTCACTGGCGTTTGATGTTCCCAAGAGCTGAGTCAGATTGGAATATTAATGTATTTGAATTAAGATACGTAAATTTAACTTTAAAAAGACCTGGTGGTGTCATATGCACGGAAATCTAGGTAAGCATTTGAAGCTAAGTTCTATGGTGCCTAGAATATTGGGAAGTTCACAGCTGTTTGCTCCTCTCTGGACACCAGAATCTTGGCAGGACAGCTGGGGAGATTCTGCCCAGGTCAGCCACACTGGTGTTTGTAAAAGTCATACTCTGCTGAGTCTGCAGTTTCCATGGATCACTCTCAGGTCCGCACAGGATGAAGATGTAAGAGGGACCCTCTCACCTCCAATGCAACACATTTGTTCCTTATTTGTCTTTCCCAGAAAGATTTCTAGTGGAAAAACAGCTTCTATGATCTGAAAACAGTTTGAGAAATATGTACATGCATGCTCAGTCACTTCAGTTGTGTCTGACACTTTGTGACCCTATGGACTGTAGCCCACCAGGCTCCTCTGTCTGTGGGATTTTCCAGGCAAGAATACTGGAGTGGGTTGCCATTCCCTTCTCCAGGGGATCTTCCCAACTCAGGGATTGAACCTGGGTCTCCTGTGCTGCAGGTGGATTATTTATCCACTGAGCTACCTGAGAAGCCCGTGAGAAACATGATAGAGGACAATTCCTGAAAAACTTCTCAAACTCCTTATGACAAAAGAATAGGATTGGATGAACCCACATACTGGAGGAGTAATATGATAAAAGTGGATGCAATGTGTTGAGCTTCAGTTGGGTATGAGATACTGTGCTAATCCAATGATCATTAATTTAGCTCATCTACTCATAAGAACAAAGTATGAGTTTCAGCGAGGTTAATTTCTTGCTTCAGTTAACACGCTGGTCAGGGGAAGGGTGAGGACTTGAAATCAGGACTGTCTGACTCCAAAGTCCCTGTCCCACAGTCTGGTCTACATCAGGTGTCTGGGTCTTCCTTCAGGATCATTATCACTCCCTGAGTCAGTTACTGCACTCACCCGTCGTCTTTACTGATGTCTATGGAAGACTTGGCTCTCCTCTGGTAAGGTCTGCAGTGTGCTGATTGTGGCTAAGCGATCACAGTTCCCCATCTTTCCAACTGAGGTTTTCTGCATTTGTTTTCCCTTTGGCTTCATTCTCTTTGCCCGGTCAACTATGGGATAGAAGTGTCAAAGAATCTTCAGGTAGAAAGACTTACTTTCGACTTACGAGTCCAATATGAAACCACATTTTCAGTTGCACAGAAACATATGTTATCTGTTGTACAACATACTATCATTAGTCAGGATCTGTTGCTTGACAGCCCCTTGTTTTGTAGGTTACTTTGTGTCTTGTACTTGATGCATTTTTTGCATTAAGATCAGATCTGCTATTAGTAAGTACTAAGGGCATATTCATTGGAAGGACTGATGCTGAAACTCCAATATTTTGGCCACCTGATATGTAGCACCAGCTCATTGACAAAGACCCTGATGCTGGGAAAGATTGAAGGCAAAGGGTGAGGGGGGCAGCAGAGAATGAGATGGTTATATGGCATCACCAACTCAATGGACATGAGTTGGAGCGAACTCTGGGAGATGGCAGAGGACAGAGGAGCCTGGTGTGCTGCAGTCCATGGGGTTGCAAAGAGTTGGATATGACTTAGTGCCTGAACAACAGAAAAGGATAGAAAATATGAAAGGGGGTTCTTAGAGCCTCATAATGAAAGTAGAAATTTCCTTCAGAAATGTAATTCTTTGGATATGGTACTAAGCAGCTTGCCATCAAATATCTGATTTCAAGCCCCTTCAGGAGTATAGAATTAATTGAATTATAGACATGGGAACTTGAAAGCCTTAGAAGCACAAAATTAGAGATCAAGTAATTTAACCTTCCTGACTGTAGCGCTTCAGTCCACCCCATAATATTCTTAACAAATGGTTGGCCAAATCCTAGCCATCTCCAGGGACTGGTCCTTCACTACCTGACATGAGAAGATGCTTAACAAAACCTCAAAACTGCATATATGATATCTCAACTATATTTTAGCAATACATGCAAATACATTATTTTAAAATAGTAATAGTTATTGCCTCTGGGTGGTGAGATCATGGATATTAGGTTTTGCTTATTTACATGTTTGTTTTTGTCTGTAATGCATCTTTTACAATGAGTATGTATTACTTTGAAATTATGGTGACAGAGGAAAATTCTTTACATAGAAATAGAAATCTTTGATATATACCTGTTTGTCCTCAACTTGAACTCTGAAGGCAACTCGGAACAAATCCCATTGTTCTTCTGTATAATAGCCTTTTAAATATTTGAACACAATACTGTAAAGTAATTAGCCTCCAATTAAAATAAATAAACTAATTAAAAATATTTGAACACAGCTTGAATGTCTTCTTGTCTTTAGGTTTGGTTGTTTGCAGATAGGTGGATGGGACTTTAAAGAAAAAGAAACCATTAAAACCAAATAAATTTGTGACCTTTAACTTATTTTTTTGAATTGAATTCAACATTTTCCGAAAACGGGATTTGGTGGAATCAGTTTGAGTCTTCTCAAAGTGTACCTGAGGTGTTTGGTAAATTTAAGTTCTTGGTTTAAGGGAAGGTCAGGACAAGAAGAGAAACTCCTGGAAAGGATGGAAGCATTGGGTAAGGTAGGGGGTTGGGGGGAGTTTGGGGTTCTTTAATGGAGAAACAGTGACTTTATGCTCTAAAAGAGGAGGTGGTAGTCAGATTCCTCTGCCTTCTTCTGCTCTGCTGACTCACTGTGTTAAAGGAATTTTGACCTTTTGAATGCTAACACGATGACTTTGCTCCTTAACTGTGCAGCCCAGAGGCAGTACCACTGCAGTTTAGTGTGTGAGTAACCAATACTCAATACAAAGTTCTAAATAAAGCTTGGAAAAATACGTTTCTGCACTTAAATTCCCAATTACAGCCCAAGGTTATCTATCAAGTTTAACTTCCTGTGTAATCTGAATGTGCTATATGTGGTAGAAGAGTTTCTCTTGAAAATGGTTATAGTTTTTCAAAGTACTTAATGTCTGAATTCTTTTTCCTGGTTAAGCTTTTTTCTTTTTTATTGGAGTATAATTGCATTACAGGGTTGTGTTAGTTTTGCTGTACAATGAAGTGAAGGAGCTATATGTATATGTATATCCCCTTTCTCTTGAACCACTCCCATCGCCCCCATTTGTTAACAGGTCATCAAAAAGCACGTAGTTGAGCTCCCTGCGCTGGGCAGCAGCTTCCCACTAGGTGCTGTCTATTTTAGACATGTATGTCAATCCTAATCTCCCAACTTGTCCCACCCTCTCCTTCCCCTGATGTGACCACAAGTCCATTCGCTACGTTTCTGGCTCTATTCCTGCCCTGCAAATAGGTTCATCTGTACCGTTTTTCTAGATTTCCCCATATATGTGTTAATATATGATATTTGCTTTTCTCTCTTTCCAACTGAGCTTTGAAATTCCTAAATTAATAATGGGACTTCCCTGGTAGTCCAGTGGTTAAGATTTCGAGCTTCCAATGCAAAGGGTGTGGATTTGCTCCCTGGTCAGGGAACTAAGATCCCATATGCCATGTGGCCAAGGTAGCTTTAGGGGTAAGTAAAGGTTTTCCTTCAAGACTTCCCAAAGAACCTGTTTAAGGAATGATGTAAAATTTAAAAATATCAATCCAAAATATTTTGCTAGATAATGATGTAGATTTATTTCAAGCAGAGGCAAATACAGCTATCAATTACCTGTTTTTTAAATTTAATTGTTACAAAGAATCTGGACATTGGAGTTATAAATAGTTGTATCTTTGGGGTTGAGTACTAGATTTTAACACTTTGTTGCATCTGAAACAAGGCTTATCTTGTTCTCTGTCTTTCTTTCCAGATGGTCTCCCAGCTTGAAGCCCAAATATCTAAGCTTGTTGAACAGTTGGGAAATGAGTCCCAGTTTCACCAGAAAGCCCTGCAGAGAGCCCAGAAAGCAGAAAACAAGTTGGAGACTCTACAGGGTCAGCTAACACACCTGGAGGAAGAGCTGGTCTCTGGAGGTGTTCTGCGAGATGATTTGAATTTCGAGAAGCAAAAAGTAATAACCTGAGGGCTGGCTCATGGGTGGAAACATCTGTTGCAATATAAGATTTTACATAAATATTTTGAATTTTACAGTATTTTGGTATCTCGGTGAACTTCTGAGTCATGAGTAAATTTCGGGGAACAATGGATATTGTTTTGGTGTTTCTTCCTATTTTTGAAGCTTCCTTGATCCAAATTAATTCACTTAAATTCAACAGGTATTTATTGAATGTCTGTTATATACGAGACTCTGACGGTTGGGATGTAAGGTATGAATAACATACAGTTCTTTTTTTCTTGACTTTTCAATTGGGGCATGTGAGATCTTCCCCAACCAGAGATCGAACCTGTGCCTCTTGCATTGGGAGCACAGTCTTAACCACTGGATCACCAGAAAAGTCCTAACACACAGTTCTTGACTGTAAAAGCTCCTGATTCAATAGAGGAGACAGATGTTCAAATAATGTGCTGTACTATAAGGCTATAAGTATTATAATAGGTATATTGACCAATAGAGTGCTTTAGGAGCCCAGTGACGGGAATGATAAATTCTGGATAAAGTGGGTATTTTACAGGGAAGGAGACAATCAAGTTCATCTTTGAAGGATAAATTGGATTTTCGTGGAGAGAAAGAAGAGAAAGAGGGGAAATAGTGAACAAAAGTCTGAAAGGTTGCAAGTATCTTCAGAAGGCACAGAGTGGCTATTCCCATATGGCTGGAACCTGACATTCTTGGTGGGGCTATGGTGGGAGAGCAGATTGGAATGGCTTGGGTTGTGAAGACTGAATTCTCTTTAATCTGCAGACTCTGAAGTGCAATAAGCAATTTTTGAACATCACAGTGTTTCAGAAAGATCATGTCACTGTGCAGCTGAGATCGCAGTACAGGGAGACTCGGAAATGATAGCGGTGATGACTCAGTGGGAGATAAGGAAAGCAGAATGAGAAGAGAAGGGCTCTGTGCTTAGGATTTGACGCTGAGAAGACCACTGGTGATGTCTGAGCAACTGTTTCAGCAGAGTGGTGAAGGACAGAAGTCAGTTTGCATTAGGATGAGGGGAGACTACTATGTGAAAAGCTAGAGACTTAGATGACAATGAAGTCTGGTGACCAAAGAGAAAACAGGCATGAAGCTATGAAAAGCAGGATCAGAGAGAGGTTTTGTTGAACAGAATGGCAAGATACATGTTTGTACCTTATCACGGGCATCTATAGGGATAAACGGGTTCATGCAAGGTGCAGGGGGCTTCACCAGTGGCTCAGTGGTAAAGAATCTGCCTGCAATGCAGGAGTTGAAAGAGATGCATGTTCGATCCCTGGGTCAGGAAGATCCCCTGGAGGAGGGCAAGGCAACCCACTCCAGTATTCTTACCTGGAGCATCCTATGGACAGGGGAGCCTGGTGGGGCACAGTCCATAGGGTCACAAAGAGTCGGACATGACTGAAGCAACTTAGCGTGCACTCATAGGCATAGAATTTGGTGTGAAAAATACTCTTCAGTTGAAAAATCTGTACTCTGGACACTCATGCATTCATTCTCTGCACTTAAAAAACTGAGGAAGCATACTACCTATACTGACGGTTGGATATGTAAAGATGCTTAAGAGATGCCTATGGGGAATCCCAGTGTCATAGATGAGATGGGCAAATCAGGACACAGTACAGTTAGTACTATGAGAAAGGTACACAATTCACCAGGAATTCAGATAAAGGAGTAATTACTTCTTTCCTATCTCATTTTGTGAGGAAATGAACCATATTCAACTGAGAGATGACTCTGGAGAGTGGCCAGAAAAAATGAGTAGGAACTTGTTTGGTAGAAGAGGTGGGGAAGGGATTTGGGGCTGGGGGAATGGCAGGAACGATGAAGGACTGGAGGATGACAGGGAGACTGGGCCGTGGTGCTCAGCGAGCCAGGGCAGGCTGATCTTGCGGGGCTTTATCCTGTGCGTGATGGAAAGCCATAGAACGGTTTTGACTAAAAGAAAGGTTTCTCTGAAGGCAGGGTGGCTCTGAGAGTCTAGAGGCTAAAAGGAGGAGCCCTTTGGGTGATTCTTAGAATAGTTTTGGTGAGAAGATAATAAGGGTTGGGATCAAGCAGTGAAAGGAATTTCTCAAACAGATGTCTCAAAAAGGTGTGTTGGTTGACATTTTGAGCTTGATAGAAAATCCTGCACCTAGTTTAACATGTTAAATTGGAAGAAATCTGACTGCTGGACATCCACACCAATGGGTTCCACCAACACCTTGCACTAAATATTCAAAAGAAAAATGACTCTCCCTTCTCAAATGTGTCCTTCTCCTTCTCAGTGATGATGTACTCTGCCTCCAGTTGCTCAAGCCAGAATCCTGAGGGTCATCCTCAAGGCTCCCTCTTTTCAGCCAATTCCTAAGCACTGTAGATCCTAAAGCATTATATCCACAATAGATCTCAGATATGCCCTCCCCGTCTCTAATTTAGAAGCAGTGCTTTAGTTTGGAGCATAATGATCATTTGCATGGACTGTGGAAACAACTTTCTAACTGATCAGTCCACCACTCCCAGCGTGGTCTTAATAAAATGCATGTCTAATCTTACCTTTCTCCATCTGGTCAAGGGCTCTGGATGGCCCTCCCTCAGGATTAGGTCTTGCTTCCTTCTTTATATGGCTGTGACATGGCCAGTTCCTCAGTCTAGGCTCTTCTCTCACCTGCAATCTCTCAGGCCAGTGGTTGCAAAGTCAGAAGCCTAGGGGGACTATCAGGGTACTGGTAGGGTGCAATGAGTGGTCAGAGTCCAAAGATGTCCACATTCAAATCTGTCCTGTAGTCTAAGAAAAGAGGAGCCCCCTTGGTAACCCATGTAGCACCTTGCTGGTCTCTCTGAGAAATGTTCTCCTCATCTTCTCCTGGAAATAATTGTCCTACTGTCCCATTAACTGTCCCTTCAGATTCAGTTCCGTTATCACTTCTTCTGGAAACCTTTCCTTAGAGGCTTAGTTATTCATGCAACATGTACCTGGCTCTGTCATGGTACTCACCACCCTTTTTGTATCCATGTTTTAACTCGACTTTCCCAATCGACTCTGAATTTCTTGAGGCCTGGGAAAATCTTTTTCCTGGATTTTTTCCAAGGCTTAGAGCAACAATCAAGAAATATTATTAAAATAATAGAAGAAGCACATCAAAGGCAAGACTTTTCGATAGATTAATGTGTCTTTCATCCTTCATGATGATGACATTAATTTTAATAGAGGTTATATCAAAATACAGGCTTCCCTGGTGGCTCAGATGGTAAAGAGTCTGCCTGCGATGCAGCAGGCCTGGGGTCGGGAAGATCACCTGGGGAAGGGAATAGTTACTCACTCCAGTATTCTTGCCTGGAAAATCCCACAGAGAAGCCCGGCGGGCTACAGTCCATGGGGTCGCAAAGAGTTGGACATGACCGAGCAACTAACACTTTCACACTTTCGTGTCAAAATAGCTCTTAGTTATGAAAGCAAGTTGTGTAAACTGATTCTGCCCATGGTGAATCTCCTATAGATAACTGCCTATAAACTAGTAGTAGTATCCTTACTGCCCAATAAGTATAGTAGGCATGTTGTTGTTCAGTTGCTCAGTCGTGTCCCACTCTTTGCAACCCCATGGACTGCAGCATGCCAGGCTTCCCTGTCCTTCACTATCTCCCAAAGTTTGCTCAAGCTCTTGTTGTTTGAGCTGGTAATGCCATCCAATCTTCTTATCCTCTGTCAATTATCCCCTTCTCCTCCTGCCCTCAATCTTTCCCAGCATCAGTCTTTTCCAGTGAGTTAGCTCTTCACATCAGGTGACCAAAGTATTGGAACTTAAGCTTCAGCATCAGTCCTTCCAGTGAATATTCAGGGTTGATTTCCTTTAGGATTGACTGGTTTGATCTCCTTGCTGTCCAAGAATCTTTTCCAGCACAATTCCAAAGTGTCAATTTTTTGACACTTAGCCTTCTTTATGGACCAACTCTCACATCCATACAGGACTACTGGAAAAACCATAGCTTTGAGTATATGGACTTTTGTCAGCAAAGTGATATCTCTGCTTTTTAATACACTGTCTAGTTTTGTCATAGCTTTTCTTCCAAGGAGCAATGTCTTCTAATTTAATGGCTGCAGTCACCACCTGCAGTGATTTTGGAGCCCAACAAAATAAAATCTGTCACTATCTCTACTTTTCCTCATCTATTTCCCATGACGTGATGGGACTGGATGCCATAATCTTAGTTTTTTGAATGTTGAGTTTTAAGCCAGCTTTTTTTTCTCTCTTCTTTCACCCTCATCAAGAGGTTCTTTAGTTCCTTTTCGCTTTCTTCCATTAGAGTGGTATGATCTGCATATATGAGGTTGTTAATATTTCTCCCAGAAATCTTGATTCCAGCTTGTGCTTCATCCAACCCAGCATTTTGAATGATGTACTCTGCATAGAAGTTAAATAAACTAGGTGACAATATACAGCCTTGACATTCTCCTTTCCTAGTTTGAAACAAGTCCATTGTTCTGTTCTAATTATTGCTTCTTGTCCTGAATGCCAATTTCTCAGGAGACAGGTAAAGTGATCTGGTTTCCCATCTATTTAAGAATATTCCACAGTTTGTTGTGATCCATACAGTCAAAGGCTTTAGCATAGTAAATGAAGCAGAAATAGATATGTATTTTTGGAATTCTCTTGCTTTTTCTAGGCATGTAAGATTGAAAAGCAAAGATGTACAGAGATTAAATTTAAATACAGGTAATTGAAATTTACACAGCATAGAATATATTCATATTAAGTTGTGATTCATTGTGATTCAAATGAACAAAATGTATAGGAATCCTTTCAGCAACTTTAACTTTCTGAGGCTTCGCCAAGATTCTTGAAAAGGTGCTTCCTCTTTGGGGTCTTGGCTCCCTCTTCTCTTAATCCCCCTTGGCCTGATGTAGGTAGATCTTTGCATGCTGAGTGGATGGGGGAATAAAAATAGAAAATGAAGCTTTTATACCTTCACAGAAAAGTTACCAACTCTATTTTATTTAAAATACAAACAATAGCAGTTATTTCACTTTCATTTGCATAATTTAGAAATGAAATAGTCCCTGCTGGGAGTGGGGTGGGTGCCTGACAGAGCATTAAGAAGTGATAAACTGGTGATGCAGAGACAAACACAGTCTGGGGTTTTGTCACACAATACAACCACGATGCCTGTAATGATTGTGACTTACAGAGGAAAGATGAAGTTTTATGTATGCTTTTCAACAAAATTAGAAAATATACACTTAATACTTTCATCCTGATGACTGAAATATAGGTAGTTTGGGACTTTAAGCTGACATGCTTCAGTCATCAGAAAATGATACTTGTTTCAACATATAATTGCCTAAAAATGCCTGTTGGATGAAGAGCTATTGCAATGAGAAGAAATTTCAAAGATAGAACCCAAATCGTGAAATTATGTTACAGAAAGCCCATAGGTTGATTTATTCATCTGTCAAGAACTCAGTAAGCATTTAATGTCTAATGTGATCAGATGAGCCCCAGAGATCAAGTGGAGGAGGATCCTAGGGTAGTTTTGTGACTTTAACCTACTAAACTAGGAACTTTGACTTTCCTGATACAGCTGTATTTTAGAATGTTGGGACTTCCCTGATGGTCCAGTGGTTAAGACTTTGCCTTCAATGCAGGGGGTATGGGTTTGATTCCTGGGCCCTAAGATCCCACATGCCTCCCAGCCAAAAAACTAAAACATAAAACAGAAGCAATACTATAACAAATTCAACAAAGTTTGAAAAAAAAAAAAAAGTTGTTCCTTTATCCTTGATACTTAAAAACTTTTAAAGACATTTTCTAAAGAATTTTAACTTAAAAACATTGTCCATGTTTGTTTGTATGGAGAGCTCTGGTTTTAGCGTGGTTTGTAGAACCAGAACCCAGGAAGAGTAAGTGGTTGGCTAAGTGGTCAGTTTCCACCTTGGAGGCCAGGGCTCACTTAGGTGGACAAAACTGCCATGGAAGGTATGTAGATGATTGGTCTGCAGGGGCTGGATTAGCCAGTAATCCCTGGGGCTGGGAGGGTCATGGTAGCAGAAACATCTAGCCAAAGTGGAGAGATGTGGATATAGTCAGGGACCTGCCTCATTTGTCAGATGGCAGGGCTTCCCAGGTAGCTCAGTGTAAATTTTCTGTCTGCCAATGCAGGAGACCTCATTCAGTCCCTGAGTTGGGAAGATCCCCTGTGGAAGGAAATGGCAACCCACTGTAGTATTACTGCCTAGGAAATCCCATGGATAGAAGAGTCTGGGGGGCTACAGTCCATGGGGTCACAAAAGAGTCAGACATGACTTAGTGACTAAAAACAACACAGGGTTAAGAAGAGTGTGTAATGTGAGACTAAACATCAAGGCCACTGACCAGAAGAGTCAAGAAAATTTGGACAAGAAACAGAATATGGAGCTCGTAGGGTGGTTCAAGAATTCATCACCAAGCACTGGAGTCAGGGGCTGGGCTCTGTACTGGGTTTAATGAGAACTCCCTGTAAGCTTGGGAGAAAGAGAAAGATTCTGTGAGATGGCTTATTAATTCTACTCTTGTGTCCCATTTTTATTCTTGTTCTCGAGTTTAGTATCTTAAATTTCTGGATCAGCTTTCAGAGAAAATGAAGTTAGACCAGATGGCTGCTGAACTTGGCTTTGACATGCGTCTGGATGTAGTTTTAGCTCGCACAGAGCAGCTGGTCCGCCTCGAGAGCAATGCAGTCATTGAAAACAAGACGATCGCCCACAATTTACAGAGAAAGGTAGGGAATATTGCGGGTGTTGTGAAAAGGAAATTCTGAGAAACTTAAATCTTGAAAAATAATGTACTTCCACCATATTTGCCAATGTGGATAGGAAACATGCAAATGTGCGTTCAGAAGCTGAGTCTTGATTTCAAGCCTGAAGGGAAAGTAAATGTATCATCCAAAGTTATGTTTAACTATGAGTAATAGAGGCCCAAAGTTGCAGACTCAAGCAATTAGAAGTAGTTTTGTTGTTGTTTTGCTTTTTGGTTTTGGTATTTTTTTCCCCTAACATACATTTCTGGAGGTAGCAGCTTAGGGTCAATGTGACATCTCTGTTCTGTAAAGTTTCCAAGGACCTAGGCTCTTTTCAGTTAGCAATTTCCCATCCCTAGGGTGGTCCTTATGACCATGGTTCACAGAAGTACCTAGGACCAGGCAGAAGTTGAAAGAAAGAAAGGGATGAAGAAGAGAAATGCAAAAGAACATGCATGAGCTATCTTTTAAAGGAGGCTCCCAGAGTTTTCTACATGAACTTGTGTTTATCTCCGACAGCTAGAATGTGTTCTGATGGTTAAAGCTAGCTGCAAGGGAGGCTGGAAACTGTAGCCTTTACTCTGTAGCCATTTGCCTAGCTGAAAAAAAGTCACTATTTCTATGACTGGGGGAGAAGAGGAGAGTAAAAGCTTATGTCTTTACATAAGCTCTCTTGCACTAGAAAGTAGAGGGGAGAAGCGCTTACTTTCCACTCACTCAAAGGAAGACTTAGAAACAGTTTAGAGTACATAAATGAATGAATGGATGAGATGGATAAAAACGTAATTATTAGTTATATAGTTATTGGCATTGGGGAAAGAAAGAGGAAAACACAGATGTATCATTAGAATAGGTCTTAGGAGAAAATTCTACAGTAGAATTATCATGTATAGGCTGCTTAATGGCTCACATCTGGGTTCTCAATTTGGCTCCACCAAGCTGTATGCCATTAGGCAAATTATATACCTTTCTGTCTTCATTTCCTCATATTTAAGATGGGAATGATACCTATCTCATGATGCTAATTTTTTAAAAACAGCATTTTTTAACTCTTGGTTCGTAGAAGATGCTTTATTCATATATGACCTCCACTTATGGTGTCTTAAGGAATATTTTATAAAAGAAAGCAGACAACCCCTATTACCATCAGAGACATGAAACTGAGCTGCAGTTCTTTCTGAAGTTCTCAGATAATTGATTTTCCCTCAATATCCAATACTATTCTTTCTTAAGTGTTGTATAATTATTAAAATGACCAGTGTACAGAATTTACCAGGGTAAATTTGCAATAGAGTGGAACTTGACAGGAAGCTCAGGGAAGGGAGGTTAGTTACAGAAATACTAAAAGAGCCTTGTTAAAAAAAAGGTTGTGGGCACGGACATTGCTTGTCACTGCTTGGCAAGATATTTATCCCGTATTTCACAAAGTTCTTCACACTTTCAAACACTTTACTAATGCAGATTATATAATCAGAGAAAATGGGATTTTTTTAGCTCTAATATTCTATATTTCTACACGATTCCAATTTTCAGTGTCTGTAATAGATGAATGAGGTTCCTATACTTAATATTCCACTCACTAATTGTGACATGTGAAGACCATGAGGATTTTTTTCCTCCTTCTAGAGTCTATAATCTTTTTCTAAAATACATTTCAATTTCTTTCATTAAGTTTGACTGCCAATGCTAAGTGCCAAGTGCAGACCTTGTTCAGCTTGGTTTGAGGATGGCATAGGTCTGGTGTATAATAAAGACACTAATGAAATAACACTTTCTTGAAGGTGAATTAACACCTATTTCTAAAATCTTCAATATATAAATAAAGCTTTCCTCAAAATCCCCTTCATGTAGCTTATTTTAAAAACTTATCAAATCCCATGTTTGGTGCTACTCAACCTGTTTCTAAATGGTTGAAATTAGTCAGTCTGGGTATTCGGTGCTAATTTGCACTGTATCTTCTTTCAGAAAAGACCAGTGTGAGCATAGTTGCCATGGGGTGTTGGAGAGGCTTTTGTCTGTCTTATTATGTTCTGCTCTTAATAAGCTCATTTTAGTAGTTTTAAAAGTAATTTTACATTTTTATTACGATGCACATCATGTTGGAGGAAATGGGACATTGAAAGCCTACTCGTTGGTGCATTTTCTGTGGCTGTTTTGTCTCATACATTGCAGCTACCAAATTAATTCTTGGAAAAATAGGTATAAAAAAATTCAATCAGGAAAAGGAATCCAATAACCTTTTTTTGATGGTTTACAAATTAGTCTTATTGAAGTGTAAAGATCAATATTATCTGAGGAATTCATTTATATTCACTGTTCAATGATTATTTTAAAAAATCCCCTGGGGAGGGTGGTAGGAGGGAGGTCCAAGAGGGAGGGGACATATGCATACCTATGACTGATTCCTGTTGATGTTTGGCAGAAACCAATGCAATACTGTAAAGCAATTATCCTGCAATTAAATTTAAATAAATTTTTAAAAAACTAAAAAAATAAATGAATGGAATATCACAGCTAAAAAAAAAAAATCTTTTTTTTTTTTTTAATCAAACCAGCTAAAGACTCAGAAGGAAAGATTGGAGAGCAAAGAGCTGCACATGAACCTCCTCCGGCAGAAAATAGCCCACCTGGAGCAGGAAAAGCAGGTGCGCTCGGCTGTGATGGTGGAGAGGGACGAGGCCAATGTCACCATCAGGAAGCTGCAGAAGAAGGTGGAGAGGCTGCAGAAAGAGCTGAGTGTGTGTCAAGAGCTGAATACCGAGCTCAAAGCCAAACTGGCTGACACCAATGAACTTAAGGCGAGTGCTCAACTGTGTTCCTTGTCACTGTTTCCATAAAAACTTATGCAAAAGAGTGACAGCCTTATAAGGGACATGCTAGAAAAAAAACCCAAAACTTTCTCTGATTTTTTAGAGCTGTGAGAAAATGCAACAAATTTCACAGATCAGCAGGGTAGATCAATTTCGTGTCTCTTCAATATCTGAAATGAAGCCATCCATAGTTGCTGAATGAAAAATCAAGTCAAAAAGGGGTGATGTGATGTGCATAAAATAAAAACATTTCTTCAAAGTGTGGGTGACTATGATATTAGGAATCATATAGACTTTTTTTTTTTTTGCATTGGCATTCGCTCAGAGAAGATGAGAAAATGAATACACACAAGTGTTCACTGAAAAGGATCAGACGGCAGTAGGGTGTGTGTTATGCTGTGGGATATTATCACACCAAGCAGGGAAGAGGGAAGACAGGCTGGGGCCATGTGCTTCCTGGATTCAAGGTCTTTGACTTCTAATGAGTATAGAGAAGAATGAAATGAAAACTTAGGATTTAATGAAAATATCCAAATGTCACATGTGTATGCCCCTGGCATATAATATACCCTGGCATATATGCCCCTGGCAATAATATGTTAACTTCATATACACTGGCAGGTATACATAGTGCATACTGGCAACAGTGATGTCCTTCCTCTCTGCAGATGAGGGCTCTGAAATGGAATGTTTCTGAGTCTGGAGACAGATCAGTTGGGAAAAGGAATCTGGAATAAAGCCAGCAGTTGAATCTGTGTAGCAGAACCATATCTTACGGCATAGTTCCCACTCGATTTTCCCTTCTGAGTCATTAGCTCTTCCCCCCTACCTCCGCCAAGCCCTTCTGGCATCAGAAGGAGGTAGCTAAACAGAGGCTTGCTTCCCTAGAGAATCGAAGGGCAGACATAGCCCAGGGGAAGGGACACATCTGAATGGAAAGGAAGGAGAAGCTAGGGGAAGCATCTGATGGGGGTCCCTGGGTGAGGAGAAAGTGTCGGAGCTAAGTATCCTGGACACCCCGCTCACACCTTGAAATTGACCTTTAGGGTGTGGGTCTGGTGGGTTGTGGGGAGGCTCTCTGACATCAGCATGCAGTTGCTCCCATCCTGGCTGGCAGGGGCTGCAGGAGTGCTGGGGCAGGCGGCCTAGACTGCACCCATTCCAGAGCCTGAGGCTCCATTTGCGCTCATGGGGAATATGGAAGGTGGCTAAAGATGTGAGAAGGACTGTGCTATGGGAGCGGGCGGGGGTGACCCGCCATCAGAGGCTCAGGGGCAGATGTCCTAAGTCGTGACCCCGGCTAAGTGTAGAGAGAGTGGCCATAGGACATCTGGCCCAAGACAACCCTGTGAACCGGAAGCGTTGAGTTAAGAGGAGTCACCCTAGCGGTAGCTAAGAGCGGAAGCAGGAAGAGAGAGCGGAAGTAGGAAGAGAGAGCGGAAGCGGGAAGAGAGAGCGGAAGCAGGAAGCAGCAAGTGGAAACTGAGGGCTGTGTTTGTCGAGTCTGTTCCCGTTTGTCTCAGCGACTTTGACCTTCGGTCTTCATCATTTTTTCACTGCGTTATTTTTAATTATTTACAAGCGTCTTTCCACTTAACCTTTTCACAAGAAAGCCTGATTCTCATAATGAAGTTTTGCTCTTTGGATGATGTGATTATACAATTTGTGTTTCTGGTCACTATGGCTGGCTTGAGAATTTCCAATTCCAGCATCAACATTGTAAGTAACGTTTTCAGATGTGGAGCACACACCACTGGTGTATGCACAGTGCTTCTAGGTGGTACAGGATGGGGTATTATATAATGTTCAATCCTTAAGTGAAAAATGGGTTCCCTTTAATTTTTCTTTCAATTCTTTCACCATCAAGGAGAAAAATCTTAATTAGAGGTAATTATGTCCTATAACATGTTGTGGTCTACGTTTTAAACAATAAGCTTTATACTCAGTGCTGAGTACCAGCTCCAGTGGATCTCCTGTGCTGTGCTGTGGTTAGTCGTTCAGTGGGGTCTGACTCTTTGCGACCCCATGGACTATAGCCACCAGGCTCCTCTGTCCATGGGGATTCTCCAGGCAAGAATACTGGAGTGGGTTGCCATGCCCTCCTCCAGGAGATCTTCCCACCCCAGGGATCCGACCCAGGTCTCCAAATTGCAGGTGGGTTCTTTACAATCTGAGCCACCAGGGAAGCCCCTTAGTGGGTCTGGGACCCACCCAAATCCAGGATGATTTCACCTTAAGCTTCTTATCTTAATTACACTTGCAAAGGCCCTTATTATAAATAAGATGATAATCTGAGGTTCTGGTAGACATATTTTTTGCATGGGTCAGGGGGGACACTCTTACTCAATTAAGAATTAATTTCACCATTTATAGATGGTCAATCCAAAATAATCATTTGGACTACATTTCTATATGTTTTATTTTAAAAATTGAGATAGAAATTACATGCTATAAAATTCTCTCTTTGAAAGTACAAAGTTCAGTAGTTTTTGGTGTAATATATTGACAAGGTTGTACAACAATCTCCATTCCCTAATTTTAGAATTTGTCCGTTATCCACCACACCCCTCCAAAAAAACCTGAGAGACAAAACGCCATGTTCATCCTTTCCTCAAACTCTGTAAATCAATAATCTACATTCTGTCTCTATGATGATTTAGTTGCTAAGTCATTTCCGACTCTTGAGACTGCACATACTGTAGCCTGCCAGGCTCCTCTGTCCATGGGCTTTTCCAGGCAAGAGTACTGAAGTGTGTTGCCATTTCCTTCTCCATGGGATCTTCCTGACCCAGGGATTGAACCGGGTCTCCTGCACTGCAGGCATATTCTTTACTGATTGAGCTACTGTCTCTGTGGGTTTGCCCATTCTGGACATTTCATATAAATGGAACCATACAGTATGGAGTCTTTTGCCTCTGGCTTCTTTCACTTTTTGTGTTTTCAAGGTTCATCCATATTGTGATCAGTACTTCATTCCTGTATTAATTAGAGTTCTCCAGAGAAACAGAACTAATCGGATGTGTACACACACACACACACACATACACACACACAGAGATTTATTTTAAGGAAGTGACCCACATAATTATGGAAGCTGGCAAGTTCAGAATCTGCAGGATGAGCCAGCAGGCTGGAAACCCAGGAAGAGCCAGTCCAAACCTTGTCTGTTGGAAGAGTTCTTCTCTTGCTTCAGGGGAAGTCAGTCTTTTTTCTATTCAGGCCTTCAACTGATTGGTTGAAGTTCACCCACATTATGGAAGGGAAATATTAATCTTATGCTGAAACACCCTCACAGAAAATTCATGATAATGCTTGACCAAATATCTTGACCTTGTGGCCCGATCAAGTTGACACATAAACTTAACCATCACATTTCTTTTTAATGGCTGAATAATATTCCATTGTTTGGACATACTATGTTTTGTTTATTCAGTATCTGATGGACATTTGGATTATTTCCATTTTTTTTTGTTTATGATGAATATGTCTGTTTTGAACATTTGCATGCCAGTTTTTTTTAATGCATTTCTATGTCTATTGCAAAACATGGTTGAAGACTTTGACTCCTAGGTTACTCAAATCTTCCTTTTAAAGAGCCATGTATTAAATTTCCTCTTGAAATTCTAGACCAGGGAAAAGCGGACCTTTCCAGATAAGTTACTAAATTTTAGTTTAGCAGGCAAACATAAGTACTGTAGAAATCCCTTTGTGAAAGAAAAAGTCTTGTCTAGATTTCCCCTTCCTGTGTTGAGCCAGAGTAATTTTGTTTTAATATTGCTTACATATGTACAAACTTAATACTGTATAGAAATTTCTTAATCTCATTACATTTTTACCACTATAAAATCCAAATCAATTTAGAAATCAAAGTGTAAAACTAGAATTTAAAAATTGGCAATATTGGGGACTTCCCTCGTGGTCCAGTGGCTAAGACTCTGCTCTCTCCCTGCAGGGGCCTGTCGGATCCTGGTTGATCCTTATTCGATCCCTGGTTGGATAACTAGATCCTACATGGCACAGCTAAAGATCCCGAGTACCACAGCTAAGACCTGGTGCAGTCAAATAAATAAATAAATATATAATTTAAAATGGGCAATATTAATCACTATACTAGATTTTATTTCACTGAAATCACCATTAATAAGAATGCATAGTACCAACTGCTTGTGTGTGGTATGGGCTCCTTTGGTTCTGGCACGTGGACAGTTTATGTTGTCTAAGAGTGAATTATTAATTCACAGAGTGAATTATTCTACTATGTGAGTTTATGTTGCTGCTGCAGATGCTTTGTTTGTACATATATCATGACACAGTTTGGCCTCCGCTTGGCATGAACACATTATTTATGTATTAACTCTACCTTTGCTCTTTCTTCATTAACCTAGGATAATTAAAGTTGTGTTACTAATTGGCGGAAGTGTAGCCTTATGCACAAATGCAAATGCAGGGACTGAAACAGGTGGCAGGACTCCAGTTCTTTGCATAACTCATGAAATGCCAGTTGCTTCATAGCTGGTGTGAGTTATGATTAGTTTCAGCTGAAAAGGCTGAGATGCACAACAGTGGCTTGGTCAGGAGAGATATTTGCTGCTTTCTCACTGAAGGGAAGCATGGATGTAGTCATTCCATGTTTAGGAGGATAGCTTCATGGTCGTCACTAATCCTGGCTTGTTCTCTCCGCTTTACCATCCTGGCAATAACTTTCCTCCTCAAGATCACCTCTTAGGGAAAGTTAGTTACCTGGGCTCTGCCACATTCCAGGCACGAGGCAGGAAGCAAGGTGGAAGGACACCCAGTATGCCACTTTCCAGGAACCGTACAACACTTTTTAGTCTTCGTTGGCAGGAACTTAGTCCCTGGAACTCACTTAGATGAAGTCAGCCTGAGAGATGGGTCTTTATTCTGGGAAGTAATAAAAAAAGGAAGACCAGATATTCAGTGGAGAGCTTTCAGACTGTACCACAGGACACAATCTTAGTAGGGACCTGTGACCAAAAATCAGTAGTCAGATAACCAGAAAGTAGTGGAAAACAACCATTATCTTTCTTGTAGTCTCTCAAGGACACACTCAAAGGGGATAAGACTCTTCAGCCTCCAGCAAAGCTCTCATCTGCTTACTGACTCGGCTTCCTATGCTCCTCCCACACTTCAGAATGCTCTCCAATCCGGCCAGTGTGGCCTTAGTTTATATTTTACCCCCTAACCTACCAATCATGAACTGAGCTCTGATTATGTTGACTCATTGACCTTGAATTGCCCTGGACTCACCCAGGTTTGAATGTATGCATCAAGCAGAACCTGTGAGAAAGGACCTCCTGGGTGAGGTGGGGGAATGGAGGTGAACTCAGCCTGCGAAGTAGAACAGCTTCCTATGATTTCTGTTCCAGTTCCCTCCTAGGAAAATCTCTGGGGTTCTTTGCAGAGGGGTGCAGCATCCCTGGGCAACCCTTCTCCTCTGCTGTCCCACCCCTTTTAGAGAGTGCCTGGACAGCACAGGGCTTCTGCAGGGTCTTGTTTTTTGTTTGTTTAAACTTTTTATTTTGTATTGGAGTATAGTTGATTAGCAATGTTGTGATAGTTTCAGGTGAACATCAAAGGGACTCAGTCATATGTATACATATATCCATTCTCTCGCAAACTTTCCTTCCATCCAGGCTAACATATAACATTGACAAGAGTTCCATGTGCTATACAGTTATCCATTTTATATATAACAGTGTGTACATGACCTTCCCAGAGTCCCTAACTATCCCTTCCCTCCTGGCAACCTTAAATTTGTTCTCTGTGAGTCTCTTACTGTTTTTTAAGTTCATTTGTATCATTTCTTTTTTTGATTCCACATATAAGGGATGTCATACAATATTCCTTCTCTGTTTGACTTACTTGACTCAGTATGATAATCTCTAGGTCTATCCATGTTGCTGCAAATAGCATTATTTCATTCTTTTTTATAACTGAGTTAATATTCCATTTTATACATGTACCACATCTTTATCCATTCCTCTGTTGATGGGCATTTCTTGGCTATTGTAAGCAGTGCTGCAATGAGCATTGGGGTACATGTATCCTTTTGGATCATGTTTTTCTCCAAATATATGCCCAGGAGTGGGATTGCAGGGTCATATGGTAGGTCTATTTTTTAAGGAACTTTTATACTGTTCTCCATAGTGGCTGTAACCGTAGGGTCCTATTTTCCGTACAATCTCCAGAAAACCCTCCAGGTGGAGGATGTAGGTTCTCTCACAGATTGAATGGATCAGATTTTACATTTAATCACCTTCTCTTTCAGAGCCTTTGGCCCTTATAACACAGGAGAGAATAGTTCGCCAGATTTGAAATGTTTTTCCTCCAGGAGGCAGATGCCAGATACATTATTCACCAGAAGGGAAACAGTCTCAGAATGTGATCCATCCTGGCTGGGGTCTGCATGGTGCTTCAGTCCTGTTTATGACCATCTCAGACCCACTGGGAAAAACTTCGGGACACAGACTCTCACTGAACTCTAGGCTGCTCTGAAGTTCTCTTAGTTGGATTAAGAAACCCATTTGCCCTGCTCCCCTCTCAGCAATCTTGTTTGACTTAGGAGGCTGAGAACGCCTCCCCAATGTTGGCTCCCAGTTCTGTCCTGGTGGTTTGGCTTGGACTCTGTAACTTGCTCCCTGACAACAGGAATTCAGGCAGCCCTCAGGATTGTGATAAAGTCTCATATTTTTGAGAAATTCTTGGCTATAAATTCTTCTCATTAGGACTTGATTTACGTGCTTCTAACTCTCCAAGCTGTGTTCCATCTTTTTTGGTAGATGGCCCACTGTAAATGTTTTTTCCAAGCTGAGCAAAAAGGCTGAATATATCTCCTCTTCTGTTAATACAACGTTTTTAATTCCATGTAGCAATCCCAGAAACTTCTGTCTTTACCCCGTATTTTCTCTGCAGCCCTGAGATTGTTGGCACGTGAACGGGATCTCTGTGAAAGGGAGATCACTTTGTTTTAAGGTTGATACTGATTTCGCCCATGTAACGTTCCCTATTTGTAAAATATTTGAAAAAATACAGAATGTATTTTTAGAGCTCTTGTTCATATAATTTATAAATAAATGTGCATATATATTCAAAATTTTTTACTGATAGGATACTTCATACATGCCTCAATCATGCCTGGGAAAGCTCCCTTCTCAAGTTTTTATTTTGAAAAATTTCAAACATAGAGAACAGTTGCAAGAATAGCATAACAGACATTCTTCTACTGTTCATGTAGATTGTTGACATTTTACTGATTGTTGTGTTTTGCATAATGAGAGCGAGACAAAGACAGAGAGAGGAATCATTTGAGAGTACATCATGTCACTTCATGCCTAAATACTTCCCAGGTATCTCTTAAGAACAAGAGAATTCTTCTGTGTGACCATAGTAAAATCGCTGCACCCAGGAATCAACACTGCGATACTATTGTAATATACTGGTACTGATTTACCATCTATATTCAAATACAGGTTTTGATAACTTGGGGTTCATGAATGATCTCCAAGGTCAGCCCCCATTTCCTTGTCTTGAGTGCTTGCTCTTCTGCTGCTAGTTCATTGGCTAGAAAGCTGACTCAGAACCCCTTCTCCTTGGTGTTGCTTTATTTCCTGCATGTTTCCCAAGCTATAGCAGTTGTTCTTGCACCTTCTCAATTGTAAGACCCACAGCAGCTGTCAGTTTCCCAAGGGATTTCCTCTCTCCTTCATGGAACCAGTAAAAAAATGTTGAACTTGTGCAAGCATGTCTGCCATCAACTTCCTCTCTGCCTGGAAAGGAATTCAGTTTCTTAAGAAGTTGTGTATGTGTGTGTGTGTGTGTGTGTGTGTGTGTGTGGTGGTAGGTAAAAACAAGTTTCCAGTTTAGGCATTTGACTCAAGCTTTCTCAGTTTAATGACATCACCCAGACACTATAAATCTGATGATTTTCCATCTGGACATCAGTATCCCAAGCAGGCACTTTTCTTCCATAGCATGTCATAATCCAATCTGAGAATAGCTTCTACCATTCCTCTGACTTTCCAGAAGTGTTGGAGGACTCTTCAGAGTTTAGGTCAGGTCAGCATGTGCTCCTTACGCCATAATTCTGGAACTCAGTCTCTGTGAAGATGCGCTCTAACCCCAAGACTCGGTCAAGATTTTAATCTCTGATGGTAGCATCCAAATGCAGTCTAGGGAAATCACAACAATCTCAGAATCCCTCAGCAATAAACAATCAGCTGTCCGAAAAACTAGATAGTGGTTGCTTTATTATTGTTACTCAAAAAAAAAAAAAAAAAAAGAAGAAGAAGAAGAAGAAAAGAGAAAACCAAAGGAGGATTTCATTCCTCAAGAGTGACAATATTTTAAAGCATCTTTTTTTCCATTTCTCTCTCTTTAGTTTCCTCCCTACATGGCATCCTACATCTCCTCACAAGTCCCTCTTCCATCCTCTCAAGTTTCTTCCAAGAGTAGTTTCTGCAGCCTATTTACCAGAGACTCTTTCCATTCCTCTCTCGGTAGATCAGTTTAGTCTCTCAGGCTTTCTTCTTCCCTGACACTCTCCCCATTATTCAGCTTCATCCTGGGAACCACAGGATGGGAGTAGATGCAGCAAGAAATTATCTTTCCTTCTTAGGAAAGAAGGGATGTAATGAAAGGGGAAGGGAGGAGACGGCACGCATTCATTATTTGGTATCTTTTATTTTTATTACTTTCAGATGTTACCTTTAAATGATTTTCAATAAAATTGAAACACAAATTCTTGCTTTTTCTTGGAGACTATGACTGTAGGCCTTGTCTAAACTGTTAGGAGGCTCAGAAGTAAATTCAGAGCTCTGCTAGTCTTTCTGCTTTGTCCATCCCATATGCACTTCTTAATTTATTTCAAAGGAATTCCTTTTGATCCTTTTTTAGAGGTTTCTTTGTAAATATGCTTTCTGATCTCAGTTTTACCAAGATGTAATTTACATACCATGAATCTCACTCTTTTAAAAATGTACAATTCAATGGTTTTTAGTATATTCACAGAATTGTGTACACATCACTGCTATCTAATTTCAGAATATTTTCATCACTCCAAAAAAAGAAACCGTGTATCTGTCAGCAGTTACTCTTTATTCTCTACTCCCACCAGCCCCTGGCCTTTTCTGGATCCTTCATGTAAATGGAATCATACAATAAATGGTCTTTTGTGACTGACTTTTTCCTCTTAGCATAATGTTTTCAAGGCTTATCTGTATTGTAATATCTATCAGTACTCTGTTCCTTTTTATTGCTTTATAATACTCTATTGTATGGATATACCACATCTTCTTTATTTACTCATCCACTAACAGATATTCAGGCTATTTTCAGTTTTTGGTGATTATGCATAGTGCTACTAGAAACATTCATGCACAGATTTTGTATGGACATAAGTTTTTAGTTCTCTTGGATTTATGTGCCTTGGAGTGAAATTGCTGGGTCATAGGTCAACTATTTGTTTACAGTTTGAAAACAGGCCAACTGTTATTCACAGCAGTTACATCATTTTGCATTCCATTATTTATTTATTTTAAAAAGTTTTTAAATGAATTTCATTGACTTCTGGTTTGTCTTGTTTATACAGTTTTCCTAAATAAATGCAGACGAAATTATTAGCATTCTCTTTGACTTCTTAGATTAAAACTTTGGAACAGACCAAAGCCATTGAGGACCTAAATAAATCCAGAGACAAACTGGAAAAGATGAAGGAGAAAGCTGAGAAAAAGCTGCTGTCTGTCAAATCAGAACTGGAGACTACAGAGCATGAAGCTAAGGAGAATAAAGAGAGGGCCAGGAACATGCTAGAAGTTGTAACCAGTGAAATGAAGACACTAAAAAAATCTCTGGAAGAAGCAGAAAAGAGAGAAAGGAAGGTGGGTAGAAATCTGGTGTTGAAACCTTATTTTGGAAAGATAGGACAATTCAAAAGCGTGATAATTATTCATGTATTTCTTTATAACCATTTAATCAGGCTTTCTACATAATTCCAACATATCTATATTTTCCCTCTCCCATCTTTTTGGCATCAAAACAACCATTATGATTTACTCCACTAAGAAAAGCAATTCACCTTTAATGGCATGAATTGTAGCAAAGAAAAAGATATTATTATCAAAGCCATGGAAAGCCTGTGAAAAGCCAGGTTCTGGCCATGGAGAGGTTTTTTTTTTATTATGTTTGCTGATTGCCTCTGAAGTTCACGTTATCCCACATCTTCTAACGTTATCCAGGGCTTCAGCCTCAGGAGGGAAATTTTATCTCCAGCAGAGATCAGTTGCAGGAAACGGTCCCAAATCACAAACAGTGGCACCCAGACCCGATGGCCAGCGGAGCCCAGATGTAAACCATAAAACAGAACTTGTGCGCCCGCTGGGTGCAAGGCGGGGTGTTATCTGGTGAGGCCATCAGGAGGTCAGGCAGAAAGAAACATTTCCTGGGCAGCCTGACCCCTGCTTTTGGCTTTCATCTCACTCGCTCTCTGCAGCCCAGAAGGGCACAGTGAGGACTCTGATCCCAGGATATTTTTTCTCTTTAGCAGCCTCTGCTTTGGCTCATGTGTCAGGCAGAGCTGAGGAAGGCCAAACTCCAAGAGTGAGTGGTCTCAGTGGGAACTGCTCAGCATTTAATAGCTTTGGCCATGTTCAGAGGGTGGAAAAGTTTGAGGAAAGCTTTTTCACTGGGGAGATTAGGCTGGAGAGAGTGTTTAGTTTCCCATGTTGGACTCAGCATAGGAAGGGGCTTGAGAAGTGAATGAGCACAGGGAGATGATGTTTGGACGGCACTTCTCCTGGAGGAATATCTGTCTTTGAATTGGTTCACACCTTTTCTGAGATGGAAGGGGTCATCTGGCCATCTCTAGTTGATCTACTCCTGCTTTTGCCTAGAATCACAGCAACCAGTCTATGAGAACTTAAGGAGTTTAAGTCACATGTTGTCCATCTTCTTTGGCCCCAAACTCCCATTTTTCCTTTTGTAATAGACAAATAATTGTCCCAGAGAGTCCAATGTGCTGTGAGATGGCAATCCGTGTGATGTGATTTGATCAACACTTAGAAGTCCTCCATATTCATCAGCTCATACTTCTTCTGTCATTGGTTCTTCCTTTAGTTGAAGAGGTTCATTGCCCAGTTAACGCCCCAGTGCATAAGCATGTATCATGTGACAGACTCAACCACACCAACAATTGTAAAGCATTTCTTAGTGTGCAGAACACATACACAGTTGACTGTCATTTCATTTGGTCTGAACTTCAGAACAGGCATGGGAGGTAGGTAGGTAGGTTGCTCATTCATGCTGGAAGTGAGAAAATGAAATCTTATCAAGGCCAGAGTCTCCTTTATAGTGGCTGAACTGGGCCTCTTGATTTGGTAGCCAATGCATTAATTGGTATCTCAGATGGTAAAGAATCTGCCTGCAATGCAGGAGACCCAGGTTGGATCCCTGGGTGGGGGAGATCCCTGGAGAAGGAAATGGCTATCCACTCCAGCATTCTTTCCTGGAGAATCCCCTGGATAGAAGAGCCTGACGGGCTACAGTCCACTGGGTCCCAGAGAGTCAGACAGAAGTGAGTGACTTTACTAGTACTACCACATTAATTGGCTCATCATGAAAGTGGTTATCTAGAGGGCGGGATGGAGTGGGAGGTGGGTGGGGGGGCTCAGGAGGGAGGGGACATGTGTATACCTGTGGCTGATTCATGTTGATGTCTGGCGGAGGCCAACACAATATTGTAAAGCAATCATCCTCCAATTAAAAGTAAATAAAAAGAAAAGTGGTCATGAAATTGCTGAATGTTGGTGTCTGAAAGGACTTTAGAGGTAATTTTGTAGGCTAGCCTCCTCCACCCCCCGCTCCTTCCTACTTCTTCTTCATCTTTTTATAAATGAGAGAATTAACTGAAGAGTAGCGAGAGTAAGTAACTAGGCTAGCTCATGCAGACCCGGGTTTTCCACTGGTGTTCGGATTGCGTTTGATCTGGCAGTGTTGCTGTGATCTGTTCTCTTGATTCACGTGGTTCTGTTTGCTATTGCAGCTGGTGGACTTCAGGGAGGTGGTTTCTCAGATGCTGGGCTTGAACATGATGAGTCTTGCTCTTCCTGACTATGAAATCATCAAATGTCTGGAAAGACTGATCCATGCACACCAGCATCACTTTGTCACCTGTGCCTGCCTCAAAAACATGACTGCAAAGCAAGATAGGCCCCCACAAGGCCACTTACAACTTCTTCACTGAACGCTGTCTCTCTTGAGGGAAGTGGAGATGATGAGAGATAGGATGCAATTCTCAATTTCATAAATTCCCCAATCCTTTGAAATTTGATCAGTGTGTGAATATTGCATTCTCTGATGATACTGCAAGAATTCATCAAGGACAAAAAAGGATCTTAAGAGTGCCATCCTTAAAACAACTATTATTTTATTTGCTAGCATTTTGGGACTCAAGACAAAGTTTACTAGATTGCGTATCTAGAACTGGAAATGATGGTAGGGAATGAGCATTTATGTGGTATCTATTATGAGACAGGGATTCTACTACACTTTAATTCTCATAATAATAAAGTGGAGAAACTGTAATGTCTCTATTTTATAACCTCTATGAGGCTCAGAGAGGTGATCTTGGTTACCTACCTATGATTGCAGTTAATTACTGACAGAACCAGAATGAATACCACACTGGCTCTGTATTGAAGGCCACACTTCCTCTGTTATTTCAGTCTTTCTGTTTCTCTTGAACTCCAGTGATTCTGGTGAAAATACCTGCATCAGAAAGGAAGGAAAACATCCTTACAATCAAGGATTGAAGCCCAGAAGTGACTGAGATTTATAAGTGTAACCCCTATGATTTCTTTAAAAAGCCATATACCTAATTATTTGAATGAAACACACCTAAGTCTGAGGTCCTGTAAAAAGAAAAAAAAAAAGAAAAGTACCTCTTTAAAATGTTGCAACCACACCACATATGGTGGTAATCTTTAATGTTTGAACAGAGCTGAGCTCTCTACTTGAAAAATAAAAACTTTAATATAAAATACCTATAAGATAAAGAAAATCTACACAGTTTATTCACCAATATATCAAATGTAAGGGGCTTTGCTCGTGGTTCAGATGGTAAAGAATCTGCCTATGATGCAGGAGACCCAGTTTCAATCCCTGGGTGGGGAAGATCCCCTAGAGAAGGAAATGGCAACCCACTCCAGTAATTCTTGCCTGGAGAATTCCATGGACAGTCCATGGGGTCACAAAGAGTCGGACACAACTGAGTGACTTTCACTTTGCTTTTACTTTATATCAAATGTACTGACAACAGGGATAACTTTCTCAAGATGGAGATTACATAGTGCATTTCTATTATTTTATGTCTTCTTTTTAAATTTCTGTTTCACAAATATTTTTCAGGAAACCATATTCTTAGCTTCCCAAGAAAAACATGTTTCTCTTTGGGCAATATTCTTATTTCTTTCCTCCAAAAAAATTATTTTTATATAATCCCTTAAAACATGAGTATCTGATTAAAGGAGAAGGATGAAAATAGATTCTACCCAAACATTAAGAGAAAATGAAGACTAGAAGAAAGTGAATGAGTTTCACACAGTTTGGATGATAGCTGACGGAGAGGGAGTGTGACCAAGGAACTCTGCTGGGGGGTGGGTCGTCTCTGCCTGGCTCTTTCCATCACGTGCATTTTGCTACTGCACGGCCATGACTGAGGACATGGACCAGGTCCGCACAGTCGGGGAGGTAGCTGTGTATTCTCCCAGGGGAAGGTCTGAGGTCTCTGGAGATCCCTTCATGTGCTCCAAAGGTGCAGTGGCTGCTGCCCTGGACCACATTCACCTCAGTGGAGAAGGTGACTTCACTCTTTGGGTCCCTGGGGGATGGAAGTGCTGCATGGTTCTGCTCCAACCAGGCCATGGAACGCAGTCTGCTGAGGGGCACAAGGTCCAGGCCAGGGCAGGGGGAGATCAGTTTTTGTACATTCACTCTGTTTTCATTTTCCAAATACACTCTTTGATGAACTTCATTTATTTTCTCTGTACATTTCCTTTCTACACTCTTCAAAGGTACTTTTAACAACATCACTTTAAAACACATAAACTGTGTCATAATATTATTTTTCCATTTTGATTTATTAATTCTATTCATTAATTTTAGTTCTATACTCATATAAGAGATTAAAAAGGGTCTGGAGTGGTTAGTACTGTACTTTCTCTTTATCATGCAGAATTACAATCCATTTATCCAAATAAACATTTATATAATATTTCCAATATATAACTCAAGTACAGATACAATCATCTTTAATACACATAGAAATATTTTAAATCTTTGAATATAATCTTTAGGAATTTCTGGTGGAAAGACTACATCTACATGGGATAAGGAAAATAAATTCTGTCTGTGTACATATGTCCACACGCACAGTAAGTATGTGTCATTTGGACACATTGACAACCCTTTAGTAAAGCTATTACTCTCCTTGTTGAAGTGCCAGCTGGTTGTCGTCCTTCCCTCTGTGGCATCATTCCAGAGTTGGCAGGCCAGCTTCGCAAAATTTTGTGTTAGATTTTGTTCTTCTGTAATATCCATGTATATTTTATGTTGTCCAATAAAATGCATTAGTGTGATGTGATTTTCTAAACAGAGTATTAAAATATTTAACATTAACTATTCTACTGAATCACTTGAGTGATAATTGCTACTGAGGTTGTTATTATGATCCTTGTCTGAGGCATTTCAATGTATGCATAGAATATCTCAATTAGGAAAAATAAATTTAAACCTGATCCATCTAAATTTCCAGTTTTACTTTCTCTTTCAGATGAACAGTGAGTGATTCAAGGACAGAGTGGTAGGTGGAAAAGTTGTTAAAGAATGTCTACACTATTGATATTGTAGTCATATTTAGGACTTAGAAATGGAGCCTAATTTTCACTGGGGAAGCATCTCATGGTTACATACCCTTTGACTGAGAAGGCTCCACCCACTTTACCCAGTAGCCATCTTATCTCCATTATCACACACCCCATTAACTTCTCTTCAGCAAGTGGGGTCTGGATGTCTCCCTTTCCCCTCTGCAACCTCCACCTATTCTTCTTTCGCCTTTGTATAAAAAGTATCATTCTTTTGAGGATCCTGCTAACATATAACTTTCTATCCTTATAACAGCTACCTACTAACATCTTTTCTATTCTTCCTACCTAAGACGTCAAAATGGTTCAGAGGTGTCTTTTCCACTCCCATCAAGTACTATCTTTGTCTTAGATGACTTTCAAGCCTGTAAAGCAAACCGACGCAACGTTCTGTCTTCAGTTTCTCGGCCATCTCAGCTCTCATACCTTTACCTCCTTTGTTTCATCCACTCGCTTCCTAGACTGAAGATTACAGCGGTGGTAAAGATTCCTCCCGTGATGCAGAAACTGCAGGAGACACTGGTTTGATCCCTGGGTTGGGAAGACCTTCCCTGGAGAAGGCAATGGCAACCAGCTCCAGTATTCTTGCCTGGGAAATCCCATGCACAGAGGAGCCTGGGGGGCTAAAGTCCATGGGGTCACAAGGAGCTGGACACAGCTGAAGCGACTGAGCACAGTGTTGTTTCTAATGTAGACTACCTTAAACAGGGGCTTCCCCAGCAGCTCAGTGGTAAAGAATATAAAATGCAGGATCCGCAGGAGACGTGGGTTTGATCCCTGGATTGGGAAGATCCCCTGAAGGAGAGCATGGCACCCCACTTCAGTATTCTTTCCTGGAGAATCCCATGCACAGAGGAGCCTGGAGGGCAACAGTCCATAGGGTCGCAAAGAATCAGACACGACTGAAGTGACTTAGCATGGCATGGCACCTTAAGCAGAGAGATTTTGGGGCACCCTGTGGAAAGATCCAGGGTTAGACTAGCTTCAGCTTGGCTAGATCCAGGGACTGTACATTGTTTTCTGATTCTTTTGGCTTTTATCCATCTTTTGTCTATGCTTGATTTGTCTTTGTACATTGGACTCACTTGCTCCTTCTGGAGATGGTTTCTCTAGGCTGCTAAGAAAGATGCCCATAAGCAGTTACAAGATCTTCATAAGTGAGAAACTGAGCTGAGAAAGGGAGATTCTCTGCCTCTAACATTCGTCGAAGAATTCTCAGGGAATGGTCTGATCATCTCTTCTTAGTCATAGTAGCCAGAAGGATGAGCTCACTGACTTGCACCTATGCCAATCCCAGCAGTGAGGGTGGGGTGAAGCTCCAGGATAATCTGTTCAACAAGAACCACATGTGAAAATAGAAAGCTCCCCAGAGAAAGAGGAGCTGGAAGGACAGACAGGACAATCCATTGCACATGGCCAAATTGAGGACCTTCTAATCACCTAGAACTTCTCCACCTCTGAAATCCTAAGTTCTCCAGAGCCTCTTATATCCCAGAACTCTGTCCTTTACTCCCAAATAGCTGTTCTTTGCGATCCCTTGATCCTCATATTTTTTCTTCCTACTAGACTTGCTAGTCTTCACTCCATTTGGAGCCAGCCATTTCCTCAATCAATCATTGAGGAAATGATTGATTTCCTCAATCATTCTCTTCCTAATACTTAAATACCTAATACCTAATCCTTAAACTTCTTGTTCCCTTGCCCTTCTTCCCTTAACTTGGAATTAATCCCAACCAGCGATGTTTTTGCTGCTTCTCCTGCCCCACTGAATGAGACGGGAAATCACACGAAAGCACGGCTGAGTGTTATGCTGGATCCATGGCCTTTGATCTCACTCTGAGCCCTTTGCACTAATTGGTAATCCTTCACCATTTTCCTGGTTAGATCTCACTGCCATTTTCCAAAATGACCGTTGCAAATATTCTCCATTCCCTCAAGGCTCTTATCATGTGTCCTCCTTCACTGTCCGCCAATAATCTGGTTTTCTAATTCACCCAGAAAATAGAAGCCATTGTAGGAAATACCTTTACTATCTGATCCTAACACAGCCCAGTACATGTGCCCAGCCATCCTTGCCTCCTTCTCTCCTTCTGCCTTGGGTGGCCTCTTATATCTTCAGCAACTTAGCCCTGTTAGTTGTTTTCCTCTCTCAACTGTTTTCAACCTCACCATTAGTAGCTTCTTTCCATCAGTATTTGAATATATTCAAATCTCTTTTGTCTTAAAAAATGTCACTTCTCCTACTCCACCACTTAGAGCCTTGGTTTTCTCTCTCTCTTCACAGTTGAACCATTTGCAAGTGTGGTTTGTGCTGCTGTCTTTC